TATATATATCTCAAGACTTCTTTATCTGACTGTCTCTCCATGGGCTCTTAGGTTGCTTCCATATATTTGCTATTATAAATTATGCTTCAATAAACATAGGGATGCATATATCTTTTCAAATTACTATTTTAAATTTCTTTGGATAAATACCATAAGGTGGAATAGCTGGGTCATATGGTAGTTCCAATTTACAATTTTTGAGGAACCTCCACACTGTTTTTCACAGTGGCTGCACCAGTTTACAATTCCACCAACAATGCAGGAGGGTTCCCTTTCCTCCACACCCTCGCCAGCACTTGTTTGTTGATTCACTGAGGATAGCCTCTGACAGGTGTGAGGTGGTATCTCATTGTGGTTTGAACTTGCATCTCTCTGATGATTAGTGATGCTAAGGATCTTTTCATGTGTTTATTGGCCATCTGTGTGTCCTCTTTGGTTAAATGTCTATTCAGGTATCTGCCATTGCTCGCTGCCTGCTGCCTGCGCTGGGCTTGGAGGTGCCTGGGAGAGGCTATGCTGTGACCAAGGCTGGCTGACACTAGTGCTGGGCTTGGGGCCACTTAGCAAGAAGTACAGAGCATGCTGAGGTCAGGCACTGCTTGTTTGGGGTTTGTATACCTTTGAGAGATTTTAGTAAAGTCCTCAGCATGGGCCAAGGCTGGTTGCTTGTGTGGAGCAGTGTCCGGAAGGGTTTCGAGCTTGGGGTCTCAGGGGATCGCCAGGGTGGTGCAAGTGGTATTAGCGAGGTTGACAGGGACTCAGATTAGTCTCTTGCCTGCACATACAGGCTGAACTGGAGGAGGGCTCAACAAAGGAACCATGGTGCCTGCCAGCATTTCTGTCCTTGGAGAGAGCTGCTCCCCGGCCCTCACCCTGAAACCTGTCAATTTGCTTCCTCCCTGTAAGTCCCTGGTGCTTTCCAGATGCTGTCCCTTTGCTATAACTTAGGGTGAGTGTGTGTGAGTCTGTGCTCAGGCCTTTGAAGAGGATGCCTGGGTCTACAGCAGCTCTCCTACTCACCTGGACAGATCCCTGCTGATTTTCACAGCCATATGTTGTGGGGACTCCTTCTTGGCACTGGTGCTCTGGGCTGAGGAGCCAAGTGTGGGGCTTGGACCCCTCACTCTTCAGTGGGGACCTCTGCAGCAGAGAGATCCTTCCAGATTTATAACCTCCACACATGGGTGTGGGACCAGCCCATTTCCTGTCTCCACCCCTTCTACCAGTCTCCAAGAGGCTTCTTCTTTATATTCTTACTTATAGGACTTCTGTTGAGCTAGTCTTCAGGTGGTTCTCAAGGGTGGTAGCTTTACAATTTAGTTGTAATTTGATGTAGTAGTGAGAGGAGGTGAGCACATCAGTTACCTACTCTACCATCTTGACTGGAAGTCTGTAATGTGATTTTTAAAAAATATTGTGTTTCTCCTTTCAAGGTGGCTTTATTGAAAAGTAGTTCTGAAAAGGTCAGCCTGAGACTAATGATCATGGAATTTGAAAAAAGTTCTGATACCTAGGACATTCTTATTATTAGGATAAACTTATGTGATAGTGTTAATTGACAAGCCAAGCTTTTCTTCTGAAGGCTATAGGAAGTGAATGGTTATGAATATAATGATGGGTGGATTAAAGACATTAGGAGAAATTTCCTACTTCACTATAAAGCATAATCAGGTGTCACTATCGATCCATATACACATGAGCTGTGTGTGTGTGTACCTTAACGTGCATACATAGACATTCAGATCCTTAGGATTTCTCACTAGATTTTTCAAGTCATACAGTGTATGAATTTTAGAGTTTGCAAGGCCATGAGGCATCCTCTAGTATGACTTCTCATTTAACAGTTGTGGATACCGCAGCTCAGGATTAATGTGGCCAGGATTATATCCTGACCAGCGGCAGAGTTAGGACTAGGATCCATGTGTCCCTATTCTTCATCCAAGTTCCTTCCATATACCCAGTTCTTTATTTTATATAAAGTAAGAAATACTTCAATCACCTTTTAAAGGGAAATTCAGCTGAAGGTGTTACGTAAGGAAGAGAATTTCCTAACAAGGATGGTGGAGGAAAGGAGTAAAAGGGAAGCTCTTTCAGGCTGAAACATTACTTCATGATCCCCAGGCCCACTTCCAGGCTTATAGTGGTTACAATTGCTTAAGGAGCCCGTTTTGGTACTTTCTACTGTCATAAAACCTCAATTCAGCTTGGTAGTCATTACTACATGACTAGAATATCCTCTGCTTCGAATTTATTTAAATTGGCACAGTGATTTCTGTCGAGCAGTGTAAAACTAATCAAATATAGGCTCCCTTCATCTTCCGCGGCTGATCTGGTAGTCAAACATTTCACTTTAGGGGAGACACACTTTCTCTTTTTGTAAAAGGAAGTCATTATGTAGGATATCGGTTCAAGAAATGACTCTAACACAACATACACGGGAAACTTACAGAGTGTGCTGGAGGCAGGTCCGTATCTGTACCGCACCCCATATACTGAGCGAAGTGCATTCACTGCTTTATGAGCTGCAGATTCCTGTGAGGAAAAGTGGGCAAATTATATCACCTACATCATTGCATTGGAACCTTTGGAAACACTGGCATGTTGTTTGAGCCTTATCGGTCATCAATTTGAAGAGCAAGGATGGGCACCTCAGTGAATAGCTATATTTAATAATAACGTTGGTCTTTGTCGCATGCTGCCTTTTGCAATATGTTTTAGAACACATTTCCTTTGCTCCTCACAACGAGCAAGTGATCAGGAAAGTTCCATTTTACAGATGAGAAAAGGAAGTCTCGGTGAGGTGAAATGGGCAGGCTGGGGTTACACTGCAAGGAGGGGTTGAGTTGGGCTAAGTGGATAAGTACTCATGTCTTTCGATGCTGATTTAGGGTTCTGTCTTCTTCATGTTAGTTCAGAGACGCCCATTTCTATAAATTACAAACTGCTTGATAGGGCAGGCCCATCTCAGTGTCCATGTACCTGTACATAACAGATGCTTAATCAATATGTCTCTTGCACGGATGTTGAATAAGCATAGATCAGCAAGGGCATCAACATAATCTTATTGATCCTTAAGTACACACTTTGGTGGTGGTGTACAAGGCATTTAAAACACATATGGGTCAATTAAGCTCTTTAATTCAGTAAGGATGACTTGTCTTACGTTATGTGTTTATCCCTACTGGGAATGGGAACAACTTCAGAATGCTCCATGACTTCTAAAGTTACACAGGCCTCTGGCAGAGCTGGCCAGTAGTTCCAAGGTGTAGAACTTTTGAGGCGAAACTCCTCCTACCAAATGCCAAAACCCAGAAAAGCTGTTCGACACAATCAAAGTACTAATGGGTGAATATTCTAACATGGATTAGAATGATTCAGATAATTCTTGAAAACATTTCAAAATGGTATAAAAAGTACACATTTCAGCAAGGAGTTAGAGAAGTATTGTATGACCAGTGAGAGGTAAAGAAATATGTTGAAACCAGTATACAACTATCCCATTTCAATTTGCCCGTGAATAATTTAATACGTCAATTGAAGCACTCCGGGCATCGCGGGCTGTGTGTTGGACCCAGCTTCAGCTCGCTGTCCTCACTCACCTCGAGGAGGCATTAAGCAGCATTTGTGGCGAACGCCACCCTTTGTGGATACTCAGGGACCAGGCTCCGGAACCTGGCAGACAATTTATTATTGATCTCACTGATGTTGACATTCTCCTCTCAGGAGCCAACAGAAAAGGAATGTAAACACCATAATGAGGTAACTTTATGGAGAATGTTCTAATATTTTAACATCTTATCCAACAGTCAAGAAATATTCCATGGCAAGGGCAGATATTTCTACATTTAGGAGATTATTGCATTCTGCTGGTGCAGAGACCTTGATTCCTCATTATTTCAGATGACTAAATCCAAGAAAAAAAATCTATTTAAAAAAAACAGCAGACACCCACTTTGCCTATGATACAAAACATGTGCATAGTTCTAGGCTTTTCAGCTCACTGCACTTAAGCCACTTGGTGTGGGTGCGTGCAGATAAGAGGTTTAGATATGATCCTTCCACAGAATGGAAACTTCAGCAAATTTTTTAAAGAACTCTTTTCCTGGCTGACACAGCTAGACACCTATTTGAAAGAGTGTAAGTGCTTCCTCTTTTCTCCATTGCTTTTTCTTTCCAATTGTCCAAAAGAACCCAGGCTTCACTTATCAGCCCTCAGCAAAGAAAGTAATATATTTCTAATTTCCATACTTCTACATTTAAAGCAACTTAATGAATGACCTAAAAATGTTGACAGAAACAGACTCCTGCATGTTGGTGGAATATTTTTGAACACTTTGAATAGAATATAATGGTTTCTGGTTGACATTCAGAGACAACCTGGCTTCTGAGAATCGTAATCCTGGTTTTAGTGGTTTAGCGTCTATGTAACCCACTAACAGATTTGTCAGCAGTGGCACTACTGACAGTTCAGACTGAATAATATTTCACTGTGGGAGGCTGTCCTGTGCATTGTAGGATGTTCAGCAGCATCCTTGACCTCTACGTACTAGATGTCAATAGCATCCCCCGGTCCTGTTGTGACAATCAAAAATGTCTCCAACATTGTCCAAGGTCCCTTGGAAGGAAAATTCATCCTTGGTTGAAAAACTAATCTACTCCTTATACCACACCCTTCAATCCAAGACAAAAAGAAAATAGGCTTCACTCCTAGTGGGAAGGTGAATTCAAAATATGAAGAACATTCTCATGTAATGGTTTTAGTATATTGCATATCCCATATCTGATGTGAGCATGTAAATAGACACTGTGCACACTTTAAAAAGGACTGGTACAAGGTGGTTAGGGTGCCAGGTCAACACCAATAGCAACAGAAACCCGATTTGACTACCACATTCACAATGTGTCTCAGAGACAATTTGCTCAGAATTCTTGCTTGGGATGAAGAACAGAGTTACTCTTTTGTACAGAATACGAGCCTTCCCCCAGGCCTCCTCCTCTGTTCCTCATGGTCCCTATTCCTTCCAGCCATGGATGGAATTCCTACAATCCCAGGAATTCCTAGATCAGGAATTCCTACAATCCCAAGCAATCAGCACAGGGTTTAGAGTTCAAGGCATACGGGAAAGGAGATGTTTCTCTTTTATAAAACCTTTTAAATTCAAATATGACATACATACAGAAGTCTATACAAATTTTAAGTTTGAGGCTCAATGAATGACCACGAATTGCACACTCGTGATACCCCATCCAGGTCAAGGAAGGGAGAACAGCAGCAGCAACCCAAAAGCCCTCCTGTGCCTCTTTTTAGCCACCACTTCCTCCCTCTTCCTCACTTCTAACACTATATATTAGTTTGGCCTGGTTTTGAACTTGACAGGCCTTTAGATACTATAGGCTCTGAACCAGACACACTTTATAAGGAATTATGCCTATAATGGGTACCTTGTTGAGTTATTGAGATGAGAAGAGAAAGGAACACTGTTTTTTCACTTTCAAATAATCTTATGCGAGAAAGGCTGTTCATTCTTAGTACTAACTTGTCAGATACATGCCCAGAGACTTAGTAGCATTAAGCAAATAGTGCTTATAAATTAAAACTTGCTTTTAATTAATGAGAGTCAGACCATAATTTACGAGCAATTATTTACTCAATAAAGTTAAGCACAGCCCTGCACATGTGACCAAAGCTGTGATACTAATCAAATCCATCCTGAGATTTTCTGTATAACCTGTGGTAAGAACGTAAATAGGTTGAAATGGTTACATTTGAGAAGCAGCAGAGTGCGGTGGTTAAAAGCAATAGCACTGGAGCTAGATATGGGGCTGAATCTAGGCTCTGATACTTAGTAGCTGTGTGTTTTAATTAATTTCTCTAGGTTTCAGTTTCCTCATCGGTAAAGTGGGGATAATAATAGCTCTTTACCTTATATGATTATAAAAAATAAATGAGTTAATATATATAAAATGCATATTAGAACCAACACAATATATGTTTGCTGTTATCATAACTACTTAGAACCACCTTAGAAAAGAAGCATGAAGCCTGACACACATGTACAGGCTCAAGCACTTACCACGCAGCTAAAATTGGGGATGGTTGCATATTTGTAAGAATAGGGATACAGCAACATCTGAGCATACGCATGAAAGGAGAGGTAAGCCCTGACGTGATGCTTGTGTTTTCGAAGGAAGTTAGCTACAGCTTTCACTTCTGGCTCGGATTCCGGGAAAGGCCCACAGTATGTATCATCACAAGGGTGCATAGAAGCTCCTTCATCTGCAGGTTAGAAAAGAAAATGGGGCAGGGAAGTGGGCAGGCGAGAAACACACAATAGCATTATTAAACTGTGGTTTTTCATTTATTTCTCTAAACATAGGGTATTGTTAGGCAATTCATCTAACTGCTCATTTACAGAAATCAATTGCTGAAAAATCCAAGGTGGTTCAAGCCTTCATGCATAATAGGAGGGTGTTCTGAATAGGAACAGGGTACTGATTGTTTCAGTGAGCCTGCAAAAACCACTTTAAAGAGAGAGCTCAATCAGTTGGAGAGCTGTCTCTCTGATCTTCTAGAGAAGTTAAGGCCAGTTTATATACTCCATGACACCTGTACTTCCCCCCCAGAATGTTCAACACACTAGTAATTAGTGTAAAATATTATCATTCAACCAATATTTACACTATTTTAGGTACCTGGGATACACTGGAAAACAACACAAAAATACCCCTGCTCTAGCAGAACCTACATTCAATCTGGAGTCTTTGTTAGATTATAATGCTCCGTGAAGGCAGGGGCTGTGTCCTTGCTGGGCACCAATAGTACGGCAAGTGTTCAACAAATATTTGTTGAATAAGTGAATCTCGATTCAAAAGCAAAGGCTAGACATCTACAGGTGTCTGGTTGAAATACAAATATTGATGTACCAAGAAATAATTCCACAGGACATGCCAAACCAATTTCTATTATATTTTAAGATCAGCAATATCCAAACAGGTTTTGTAAAACCCATCTTGGAGGTTTGATAGTGATCATTTAAATCCTCAAAACTAAATTTTGATCATTTTTGAAATAAAAAATTAGGTTATACAGGTCTATGAGGCTAAATCTTGAGGGCAGTAAGTTTAGTTTATGCTGTGGGAGAGTCAAGGTGGGGAACTTAAAGCAATCGTGGTTTTCCTCGGTTGAGTCTAATTCTGGAGGTGCCTCAGAAGCAAGAAAGAGATGGATGGAACTGAGAACTTAAAAACTGTAGATGATACTCTGAAAGGAACAGGAAAAATAGACATCTGACGAACACTGATGTCAGGCACTGGAGAGGAGAGATCACAAACTGAACGACTAATTCCAGAGGGAGCAGAACTAATGAGCTAGAGAAACAGAATTTATAATAATCCTAATAAATATTCTCAAGGGCATATAGGAGGGCACTGGAAACATTAAACAGAAACAAGAAGTTATAAAAAAGAACCAATCAGATGTAATAGGAATTAAAAATTCCTCAGTTGAATGAATACAGTTGATGAGTGAATTAATGAGATGTAGTGGGTTTTGAAACACTCCCAGAGGCATCAAGAAGAAACACAGAACTGGAAAAAAGAGGGAAAAATTAAAGGGTGCAAAAAATGGAATAAGTGTCAACATTTGATTAATAGGGCCCTGAAAGAGGGAAAAAAATAAACCGAAGTTAAATATTTGAAGTACTGCTAATTGAAATTTCCCCACCATTAGAAAAAGATTGAATGAACTTATTGTGTATCAAACAAGAGAAATAAATGGGAAAAGATCAACTCTTTGACACCCTGAGGTGAAATTGAAGAAAAGGAAACAATTCCAGAGAGACAGAAGTAGGTCATCTATAAAGGAACAAGAATCAGGTTCACATTTACCTTAATAGCAACATTAGAGTAATATTTCCAAAGTATTTTTAAAAAAAAGAAATTTGGACCTAGACTCTGATATCTAGCTGAACTCTCATTGAAATGTGAGTGTGAGATGAAGATGTTTTCTGGCATAAAAGGCCTCAGAAGGTTTACTGGACACAGGCATAATTTGTAAACACCCTTGGAAAAAATATTACAACAGAATGACAAATAACTCCAGAGAAGGTTGTTGATATGAGAATTACTGGAGAGGAAGCAACTCGGTAAGACCTGTTGTCTAAATAAGCAGTGTCCCAAGGAGAGAAAAGTGTAATGATCTAGCATCAAATTCTAGAACGTAACGAACTGATGGATGATGGAGGGTGGGGCACCGGAAGTAAAAGCTGCTAAGTGATTGGTGTCTTTCGCAAAGCGATGTAGCTATTGGTTAAATTTAGAAATTGATGGAGAGAAACAAACCTAAGCAGGGCTCTTAATAAGTTAGGAATAACCACAGGAAGAAAAATAGAACACAAACTTCACAGCCGACAGAAGTAGCCTTGACTCATTCAACAGAAAACAGTGAGAGAAAAGAGAAGAAACATTTGAAAATAGAAAACAGGAATTCAGATGGCAGAAATAAGTGTTAACGATTAATTAACATAAGTGATTATGAAAAATGCTAACAGATGAAACTCACCGATAAAATGACTGATACTTTCATATAGAAAAATAAAGATGATCTAGGAATATCATGGTATTTGTCTTTCTCTGTCTGACTTACTTCACTTAGCATAATACTTTCTAGATATACCAATGTTGTGACAAATGGCAAGATTTTATTCTTTTAATGGCTGAGTAATATTCCATTGCGTATATGTATATATCACACCTTCTTTATCCAGCCATTTGTCAGTGGACACCTAGATTGCTTCAATATCTTGGCTATTATATGTAAGTAATGCTGTAATGAACATTGAAATGCATATACCCTGTATCTTTTTATTTTTTATTATTTTAAAAAAATGCCTTTATTGATTTCAGAGAGAGGAAGGGAGAAGGAGAGAGAGAGAGAAACCTCAATGATGAGAGAGTCATTGATCGGCTGCCTCCTGCACGCCCCCTACTGGGGATCGAGCCCGCAGCCCGGGCATGTGCCCTGACCGGGAATCGAACCTCGATCTCCTGGGTCCTAGGTTGATGCTCAACTGCTGAGCCACGCCCGGCCGGGCTCCTGTATCTTTCTAAATTAGCGTCTCCATTTTCTTTGAATAGATACCCAGAAGTGGAGTTGCTGGGTCATATGGCAGCTCTAATTTTCATTTTTTGGAGAATCTCCATACTGTTCTCCACAGTGGCTGCACCAATTTACCATCCTGCCCACAGGGCATGAGGGCTCCCTTTCCCCCCACCCTCACCAGCACCCGTTTGTTGATTTACTGTTGATACCCATCCTGACAGGTGTGAGGTGGTACCTCATTGTGGTTTTAATTTTCATTTCCCTGATCATTTTTAAAAGGGAAAATTTAAAAAAGTTTTTTAAGGGAAAAGAAAGAAAACCAGAAGAATTTGGTTTTATTTTACATTTTACAGGAACTGGTCTCTGTGGAAATTGATTCAACAGAAGCAGCTGGATCCTCTAGTTAGCATTACCTGGGGAAGCCATAGTTCTTATTGCATAAATTCAGTTATTTTTCCATTCTCTATGTTTTTCTTTTCATTTATATGCTTTAAATTTCACTAAATGGAATCATATCCCATTTATTTCTTTGAATTGTTATCTTTTAAAAATTTATTTTTCACTTGCATCTCCCACTGTCACCTAACCTTCAGGTAACCGATATTAACAACTGAGCACAGTTGTTAATATAGTTTACAAACACACACACGTGTGAGTGTGTATGTATGCATTTATGTATTCGTGCATATGTGTATTTTTGTATAGAGATAATATTCATTTTTAGAGGAGCTATTTTTGGTCACAAAACAATGTTATAATCATAGTTTTTTGCCACTTGCTATTTCCTTCGGTGATAGTTTGTGGAACTCCTTCCACATCAACTTGAATTCATTCTTTAAATTCTATTCTTGTGGTTATAACGTAATTTAGTCTCCCACCTGCCTATTGCTAATTGTGTTTATTTTTTTCTCTTTGTTATGATGAACAATACTACAATATAAAAAGTGGGGGACATTACTACTGACTTGACAGAGGCAATGCTGCAATAAGTATTATAGTTCACATATCCTTACATGTGGGGACTTTTATTTCTGTGGGGCAGATCTATAGGCATAGGACTGGGTTGAAGGATATATTTAAAAAAACCAACACATTTATTTAAGTAGGTATTAAAGTCACATGATTCAAAGTTTTAAAGTTCTAAAAGGATTGTGGTTTTGATCTGCTGTTAAATGCTCTACCCCTGAACTATACCCCATAACCTTAGGATTGTATTTTTCATTTTCATAGACTTTTGCCAGATGGCTTACCAAGATTTTTACTATTTACACTTCCACAAGCAGTGTATAAGACTGCCATCTCTTCTTAATTCCTACCAGCAATACCCTTCAAGTTTATCACCTTTAAAAAAAATTCAATTATAGTTGACAGATAATATTATATTAGTTTCAGATGTACGACAGTGATTAGACATTTATATACCTTATGAAGGGATCACCCTGATAAGTCTAGTTCCCATCTGACACCATACATAATTATGACAATGTTATCGACTATATTCCCATCAGTTTTGATCACCTTTTGATTTTTGCCAGTTTGATGGCAAGAATTTAATTTTTCTTCCTTACTACAAGTATGTTTGAGCATCGATTTCTATGTTTGTTTCCGTTGGACTCTTCTCTGAACTGCTTACTCATGTCCTTAGCTCATTTTATTCTCTTGGGCTGCTTATCTTTTGCTTACCCATCTGTAAAAGAGCTTTGTATACAACTTGTCTGTCATCTGCAGTGCATTTTAGCCTCAAATTTATAAATTTTCTATTCCATTGTTTATGGTAACTTGAATCATCTTAGACATCCAAAACTTTATATAATCATTATGTCTTTTCTTTTTACATCACTTTTGGGTTTCTTGTGTTGGTTAAGAAAATTTTCCCTATTCTTAGAGATTATAGGTAATGTATATAGTTTCTTCTAAGGATTTTTATCATTTTATTTTTTTCCATCCAAGTTTTCAATTTTTCTGGATTTCTTTTTATACGTATGTAACCTATGGTTATACCTCCAGTTTTTTAAAAAAATATAGATAGCCAATTCTGTCAGCATAATTTATTAAATATTTTGTCATTTTCCCTCTAAATTGAAACACTGCTTTGGTCATATAGTAACATCCATTGCATGTGTCGATCTATTCCCAGATTCTCTGTTGTGTCCTGTGACCTATTTGTCTGTTTCCAC